ATATAATCTTCAGATAATCTCATGATGGCTGATAACAATAATCGAGATATTCCTAATACTACTCAAACTGCTAATCTTTTATAACTTTTGTTGACATTTTGGGATTCAGCGGACAATTTTACGTAATAATTGAATGCTAAATGTCATTTCCGAATTTAGGGAACCATTTTACATAAGAATTGGCTGTACGGGATACAAATTGCTGTGGGCTCCAGTTCAGGCGCGTACGCAGGGGGGGTCAATGGGGGCAATTGCCTCCCCAGACGAAACGCGGTATCCTTACAATGCCGAATTAAAAAAACTTAAAATTTTATCCCATTGTTACTTACTTACTTACTATAGTAGATAAAAAATATTTAAAGATGTAGCTATAGCTATAGATTTTACAACATATAATAATCAAAATATATTTTGATTATTATATGTTGTAAAATCTTTAATTACATAAATTTAACTAATTAATACAACCCATAAAAATTTTATTTATATTAATTACATAAATGATTTTACATGTATGTTTAGGATCATTAATAATTAATAATTATTTGTTGTAAAATCTTTAATTACATAAATATAACTAATTAATACAATCTTAAAAATTTTTATTTATATTAATTACATAAATGATTTTACATGTATGTTCAGGATCATACAAATATAGCACAATATATTTAACCTGTTCTTGGACAGTGTTCTGACACAATTAAAAAGCAGATTTATTAAACATAAAGATTTGTTGTCATCATTCGCACTGCAAATTTCTAATTTTTTCCATTGACTACATTATTTCACCAAGATCTGGAGTGCAATAATCATGCCGTTTTGAGAGCAGAACTTAGAACTAAGAATTATGGTGGGAATATCTGCAAATCTGCAAAAAGTTAATGAGTGGTATCCATCAAACGCATTCAATTTTGAAAAATTTGGGTATATACCCAAACATATCAGAATTTCTGTATGCACTGCAACAGCTGAGATAAGCTTTTCTGCACTAAAATTGCTTAAGACTTATCTTAGGAATACTATAAGAGAAGAAGGATGAATGGGCTGGCTCTTTTATATGTTCATCCTAATATAACAATTTCTGAGAAAGGGGTCTTAAATGAACTGCAAAAAAGAATTTACATTATTTTGAAATTTTTTCAATATTTACTTTCATTTAGTTTAAGACATGTGGAAAAGTGTCAGATATTTTATACCAAAATATTTTGCATAAAACAAAAATGTTAACTTTGTGCTTGTGGGAGTTTATTTGTTTTATTTTTTTTGCAATACAAAATGTAAAAATAATAAGTAATATGTCTTATTTGTTAACTTACCAGGCTTTGCCCCCCCCCAGGACACAATCCTGCGTACGCGCCTGCTCCAGTGACTGCTTTTTCACTTTGAAAACTCATTTCATTCAGTTTTAGTATAATTGTTTTAAAATTTTAACCATTATTAATTTATTATTCTTTAAAGTTAATAATTTGTGTCTTTTACACATCTAAATATCTAGGAATAGTAAAGTCTCGGAGCGAGACTCGGCTAATATATTTTTGTGTAAATGACGTAAATTTGCAAGATACTTGGTTCGATCGTTTTATTGATTAAATATAAGTGAAATTAAATTTTGTCACTTAAGGTTACTTATACTCTCTTAAAATGAATTAGTCAAAAATAACTAATTATAAGTTATATTCGACTAATTGTCATAACAAAAAAGCAGTCACTAATAATTATGATAGTTCGAACTACTAATATTGAGTACGCCCACCTATATTACCTAATTTTGAGCTGCTGATTTAAAAAATGCCACTCAATTTGCTCCAGGACGCGTCCTTGACTTTGTATAGAGTCTTTGTATATTTTTGACACGGTACATCAAAAATAGATTTAAGGCAAAATAATTTAATAAAAAATCAAAATATTAACGAACAAAAATTACATTTTAAGGAAATTGGGCAGACCCTTTTATAACGCAATTATTTTGAATCCTATAGACGTCCGGAAAATATATTTTCTATTTTACATAAAATATATATTTATATATATATATATATATATATATATGGGGCAATCCATGCCAAATCACCGAGGTTTTGACCCGACCCCCTTCGATTTCGCTAAAACTTTTTTATCATTTTCTATCCTACCAAAGACATTTATCTGAATTTTTTTAGATTTTTTTACCCGACCCAAAAAAAGTTACGAATTTTTGAAAAAAAACCGCTCTTTTTTTTAAAATTGCAATAACTTTTTCACAAATTGACCTTTCGGCACGTTTTTTTTTAAATTTTTGTTTTTAAATGTAGTTTTCAGAAAAAAATTCAAACAATTTTTTGGAAGTCACGATATATGAAATATTTCAGTTTTTTCAATAAAACCGTCATTTTTTCGAATTCTGAAACCTTCGATTCTCAATTTTTTTGTCTCAAAAAAAACTTCAACTAAGACAGTATTTAACCCCACTATTCCCATTTTGTGCCGACTTTCCATTCTATTGTTTTTTTTTTCGATTGAAAATAAAGAAATTTCTCAATTTGGCTTATTTTTTATGACTTTGCGTTGAGGTTTTTTTTATTGTTTTTAAAAGCTCAGAAGTTGAATAAAATTGGATAAAAACAACCGTAAATTTTTTATTAAAGTATTGTTTTTACATCGTTAAAAATCTAAATATTTTAATTATTTTCCTCGGTTTAGCGATTGTTTTCTTGAATTCTTAACCGTACAATGTTGTGTCTTAAGGAATGAACTTATGTTAAAGAATGAACTTGCATTAAAGAAGGTACGGAAGGTTATGGTAATAAAAAAACATAAAGAAAGTACGAAAGGATATGGTGGATGTTCAGTGACTGATGGTAATGAACTTGTGTTAAAGAATGAATTTGTGTTATTAAATTATATGTTTTTTAAAGTAGGTATACTTGACGTTTCGTTGTTTTTTTTATTTAAAAGAGGTGGTAAAATAATAAAAATGTGATTTTTTTTTAAAATAACACTTTTTATAAACTTATGTTTTGATATTTTTTTAAACTGTGAATTAGACTATTTTATTCAACTTCTGAGCTTTTAAAAACAATAAAAAAAACCTCAACGCAAAGTCATAAAAAATAAGCCAAATTGAGAAATTTCTTTATTTTCAATCGAAAAAAAAACAATAGAATGGAAAGTCGGCACAAAATGGGAATAGTGGGGTTAAATACTGTCTTAGTTGAAGTTTTTTTTGAGACAAAAAAATTGAGAATCGAAGGTTTCAGAATTCGAAAAAATGACGGTTTTATTGAAAAAACTGAAATATTTCACATATCGTGACTTCCGAAAAATTGTTTGTATTTTTTTCTAAAAACTACATTTAAAAACAAAAATTTAAAAAACAAAAACGTGCCGAAAGGTCAATTTGTGAAAAAGTTATTGCAATTTTAAAAAAAAAGAGCGGTTTTTTTTAAAAATTCGTAACTTTTTTTGGGTCGGGTAAAAAAATCTAAAAAAATTCAGAAAAATGTCTTTGGTAGGACAAAAAATGATAAAAAAGTTTCAGCGAAATCGAAGGGGGTCGGGTCAAAACCTCGGTAATTTGGCATGGATTGCCCCATATATATATACATATATATATATATATATATATATATATATATATATATATATATATATATATATATATTAGGGTGTGCCAAAAAAACTCGAAATAGTTTTTTTCTTGCTCTCCACCCAAAATATCGTAGAATATGTCCGAACAAATATTCTGTTAAAAGCGGAGCTCATAATTTCAATTTTAAGAGGTCCCTCATCGAATCTGAAGTTTTGCCGCTTAAATAGCACAGAAAACTGACCTTTTTACCTTATTTATTCTTGCAACCTAGGAAGAAATTTTTTTTTCATAAAATCCATGACCAAATCTTACAAAGCATTAAACTTGGACGAAAAAATCTTATTAAGCCGAATTTCTATTTTCATTATTTAATTTTTTACAGAGCTTTAAATTTAAAATTTTACGTTTTTTGCCTTTTTCAGCTAAACTATTGAAGTTAGACGAAAAAGTCAAATGGTAATTTTTTAGCTTGTCTGATGGACCACAAAAAAGTTTTAGGCGAATTTTTTATATCGTCAATATTCTAAAAGTTACAGGCGTATAAAGTCATCATTTTTGTATTATTATCTTTAAATTTAAAGCTATGTAAAAAATTAAATAATGAAAATAGAAATTCGGCTTAATAAGATTTTTTTGTCCAAATTTAATGCTTTGTAAGAATTAGTCATGGATTTTACGAAAAAAAAAATCTTCCTAGGTTGCAAGAATAAATAAGGTAAAAAAGTCAGTTTTCTGTGTTATTTAAGCGGCAAAACTTCAGCCCATGACTAAAACGCCCATGACTAAAACGCCGTAAAGCCACAACTTGTCAATGTGTATTTAAAAGTTCACTCATGTCATGGAAACATGTATAATAATGGGCGTTTTAAAGGTGGGAGTAGGAAATGGTTATTTGTCAATAGTGTCGAAAAGCGACTTTTTCATGCGAGTGTTAAAGTTGCTCTCGAGGCCGTTCTGCCGGGTGTGCATAACACGAATTTGTACATAACCTAATATATCAAACGTCAAACTCGATAATTTCTTGAAAAAAAAATAGTAAATAAAACACGGCGGGGAAAGCATATTAACTACCTCGCTCAGATCTGCAGCCTCGGCTAAGCCGTTAAGGCCCTAGACCTGGTCTAGGGCTATGGGCTTGGCAGCGAACAATGAGCTCGGCTTGAAATAAGCGCTTTCTCCGCCTGTTAGTTAATGTACTATTATAAATGTCCATTGTAGGGAGACCAGGCCCTGATGGACCTCTTCTAGTGGCTAACGTTAACGACTCGTGATAGTGAATTGGCCCGAAGTTTTGACAACATTTGTGTTAAAAAAATATAATTTATTTGCTACAAATATATTTTAAATCAGGCGTATAAAAAATAATAATAATAAAATTAAAAAGAAAGGCATGGATTATTAGAATATATTTTATAGTAAAATACAGTCTACAATAAACATTTCATTTATTCAATAATATATTTTTATAACAATGGGGATTTAATAAAATTGTTGACATAAAGTAAATAAATGTTTTTATTAAAAACTTTCAATATATTAACAAAAATAAAACACACGATAATTTGATCTTATTGAATAAGAGGCGGTCGGTCTCTGTGAGCGACAGCAGGAATGTTCGAATAATAGAGAAATTGCAGACAGGCAGCCAGAACAACGCAGAACAGAACATAGCGTGTCAGTCTGTCTGTCTATCATCAAAAGTTTATTTGTCCGTTCGTTCGTCGATTTCATGTCATAGGACGGCCTGCGTCCTGCTGGAAAATCGGCGGCGACGACAGCATGTTGGGCGTTTGCTGGTGCTGCATGGACAGGCTGGCCATCGCCGAAACCGTGTCCTTGTCTTCCTTTTCGTTTCTGATGGCGTCGTTGAACGAACATACGGCGGACTTGTTGGCGTCCTGCAAGCACTGCCAGTGCGGCGCCTGGGCCGCTATCACCTTCTGCAGGGCGAGCACCGCGTTGCCGCAGGCCACCCTGCCCAACTCTACCGGCGACAACGGGGACGGCTGGTCGCCCAGAAGCACCCGCACGCACTCTTCGGCTGAATCACAAATCGACGGCAAATCGTAGCCTCCCTCCAATGCCAAAACCACACGACCACGGGCCAGTTGCATCATCTGACGGGTCATGTAGCCAAAACAGGCCGGTGACACCCGGTATCCACCCAGCGGCGGCGAATGCCCATCCGTAGCGTCGAATCCCGCCGATATTAATACTATATCGGGGCCGAACTCCCTCGCGATCGGCATGATTACGCTGCGGAAGGCGGCCAAGTATTCGGCATCACCAAGCGGCGGATTCAATCCCCCGGACCAGGCGATGTTCACGTTGTAGCCGAGTCCAGCGCCAGCGCCGCACTCGCCCGTGCTTCCTGTGCCCGGAAAGAAGTTGCCATCGTCATGGCGATGCATCGAGATTACCAGCACGCGGGGATCATCGTAGAATATCTCCTGCGTACCGTTTCCATGGTGAACGTCCCAATCAAATATCAGGATTTTGTGAACCCGATAATCCCTTTGCAGGATCCTGGCGGCGATTGCGACGGAATTAAAGTAACAGAAGCCCATCGCCTGCTGCGCCTCCGCATGGTGACCCGGAGGTCGGACGATGGCGAAGCCGTTTCGGATGTCGCCCGTCCAGGTCCTTACGGCGAGATCGACGGTACATCCTACCGCCATACGGGCAGCCGGGGCGGTGTAAATCTCGTTCCACGTTGTGTCGGTGTCCACTCCTATTCCGCCACAATGTAATCTAACAAATGCCGTAACCGGCAATGCATTCAGCTTGCTTAATTCCATCTTGTGCCGGTTTAAAGAGCTGGTGCCGTAGAGAAGGGCGTGCGTTTCCGAATGGCATGTCTGCAGTTCCATGGTGGTGGCCTTTCTAGGCCGAAGCCGGTCGCACCTGGACACTAAGCCGGTTTCCAGAAGACGCGACCAGATGCTTTGAAGACGACCGGCGTGTTCGGGATGAAGGGAATTGTTGCCGCACACGCAGGCATGTTTGAGCATTTGGTTGTCGTAGGCGAGGCCAGTCGTGGGCGTCGAAGACGCCCGCCGTCTAGAGAGCGTCACTCCGTCGGGGGCGCCCAAATGAACCACTGGGCTGCTAAGGGCGCGTGACAGCGGTCGTATACTGAAAACAAAAAAATGTTTAGTCATAGAACAATAATGATTAAAAAAATTAAACAATAATGTTAATGTAACTTTGCTAATACATTTTTAACTAAACCTTGCAACTATTTTTTTAAATTAAATCATATTAAAGCCGATAAAACTTAATCAAATCAAATCCACCAAAGGTTTTTCCCTCACCTTCCATCTCCGATTTTGATAATTTTGGTAAATTTGTTTACCTCACTAAAAAACTCGAAAATCCCAAATTCAATTTTTTTTCGATAGGTGGTATTTGTTTTATTGATTTTTGAAAATCCAAAAATTACCGATTTGGGTCTTGCAAGTACTTAAAAAAATAGCGATATCTCGTAAACTATTAAAAGTAGAAAGTTGAGTGAAGAGACCTTTTTTATGATATATCACATGACCTTTTTTGAAAAATCTCAAAAATACCTTTTTTAATTTTTTTTAAATATATATTTTTTGTGCACATTTTGATAAGCTATGTACAAAATTTTAAGATGGACACTCAACGGGTTCATGGTGAAAAAAAATATAAAGGAACTCACTAACATACAATAAATGAATATTTTTGGGTCATTTCACTCCAAATAGTTGATTTTGATTTTTACCTTTGATTTTTTCACTTTTTTCCAGCCGCACGGTGGGCTGGGATACAAATCTAACTGGACAACATTACTTACTCCCTCAAAAATTAGCAACCGCGTATTTAACTTAAATAAAAATAAAAATATTTTTTATATATTTGTTGTTCAGCTATGTATGAAATTTTAAGATTGACACTTAAAATCTGATCTTAAAAAAAAAATTAAAATGTGCATGCACGCATCTAAATTAAATGCAAAAGTATATTTCTCCCCTACGGTCTCTACATACAAAGTTGTAGCCGCCATGATCTTCATTTGATAAAAAAAAATTTAATTCAGGTTAAACTACCCCTAATATTAGCTAATTTGATACCCACTTAAGTCATGTTCATATTATATTTAAAACTTTAACCAAATAAGAACAAATATTAAGTGGCCTTTGACTTTAGTTGCTATGGTTGCCACTTTTAATAAAAAACCTCAGGAAGGAGTAAATGATAGAAAATAGCTGACCTCACAGGGGGCTAACCAATTGGTGGCCACAAATGGAGGACTATAGTTTCCGCCAGCTATAACGTTTAATTCTTTGCAAGGTTTTATTATTAAACAACAAAACGCATAGAACAAACCATAAGCGCAATTAAACAACAAAAAACGCTATTAAAGTTTTCTTCTTTTAGACCATCAACGATAACGGAAGAACAAAATTCAGATTTTATACAGCAACAATTTTCATATAAACTTTTTAAATATTGGCGTTGAGAAACTATTTAATACTCTTTTTTGTCTTGAGATTATACAATCTTTTTTCATTTAGTATTATTTTACAACTAACTTAAAACAACTTGTCAATGTGTATTTAAAAGACCATGGAAACATGTACGATAATGGGCGTTATGGACCTTTGGTCTTTTTGGGTAAATAAATATAAAAAAAAGGTGGGAGTAGAAAAAATAATACACTGTATTATGTATCTTTAGTTTAAACAATATACTACTGCTTCACATGAAGAATTAATCAAGTTTCCTTGATTTATCTATTTGCTTAATTAAATAAATAAATAAATAAATCGTTTATTAGCGGAAGCTATAAATGTTACATTTTATATATAAATATACTTATTATCACAATCCAAAATCAAACGTTTGTGTGTACATAAAATGATAGTGCCCTTTTAAATTTACTATAATTTGACTCACTTTTAATTATCACAGGTAAGTTATTAAACAAAATTAGACCATTATAGAATATTGTTCTATAAAGAGCACAACCACTTGCTGTATCCACATAAAAATCACTTGCTGTTCTCGTGTTATATTCATGAACATTATTAACAAATATTAATTTGCTATATAAATAAAATGGTGTCATTTTATTTTTTATTTTATAAACTAAATCAAGAGTACGGTATAAAAGTCTTTGGTTAACATTCATAAAATTGAGGACTTCCAACATAATATTAATTGGAGTATATCTGTTACAATGCAAGATTGACCTCATAGCTTTATTTTGTAAAACTTGGAATTGTTCCTTTTCGTTTTTACCTTTTACTGGTGGCGCACGGCCTAACAGGCCCAAGCGATCTTATTTAGCGGATCATTATGAAAATAATTAAGAGACAACTCTGTATTTTTCAGTACCTTCCTAACTTTTTGCGTAGAAAGGTGTAGTGCAATGTTTATTTACTTATAGTTCAAACTTAAAAAGTTATAACCTAAAACGGCCTGAAAGGCCGGGCGCCACCATTTATGCTATACGACTATTTTGTGGTATATTAATTATTTAGCATATTTTTTACTTTATTTTATCAAATGTGCTGATATTTTATGGGCTAATGAATGTGGCTGGAATAAATGCCCAAGTAATACACACTGCAATAATTCAAATTATTAATGCGAAGGCTCTTGAAGAACGTCGCTATGTCCTAGTAGAAGCATTTGAAACGCCGTTCTATGGAACAAAATTTACCAACTGAGGTACGTCAAAGGCGACAAGAAGTAGCTGGGACTTCTGCCGATAATGTTGAACCTCAACCAATTCCCCCCTGGGACCAGAAAAAGGTGTGCAGAATGTCGCATAGACAGAAGGAGCACACACTTCATAGCCAAAAATTTCTATGTATGACCCATGCCAAATCTATGTGTCATAATTGAGTGGAAAAAAGTCAAAACCACGTTTAATACGATATTTTGTTATTCAAGCTTATAAACCATTTGTTGTTTTTTTGGTTGAATATATTTTATATTTAGTTTTTTGTAAAATAATATTATGTCACCTTATAATCCTGTCCCCATAAAATTAACCCCATATTTCAAACATATGAGGTTTTTTTGTTAAAAAAATCAGTGACCTTGGTCACAATAGGATTAAGTTAAAAGTAAAAAAGTAAAAAATTCACAAAGAAAAAATACTAGCATAAATATGATTTTTTTAAATTTACGGGCCTGACAGGCCGGGCGCCACTAGCAATGTTAAATATAAGGCGCCACTACTACAAGGTTAAAAGAAATAATATAGAGGCACAATAATCCAAGTGTGGCGCTATAATGGATTTATACAACAGGATTTTAGTTGACATACTTAGATAATTACCTATTCTTCTCATAAAGTTAATTTTTTTGGACATTTTATTCATTATTAGCAAGGCATGGCTTTTAAAACTAAGATTTTCATCTATGTTTACACCCAGGTATTTAATTTCATGAACTTTTTCAATTACAATATTATCTATTTTAACTTCATGTGTGAGATTTCTAAGCTTTGAAATAGCAAATTTTTTTCCTATTAACATATATTTAGATTTACTCAAATTTAAACATAAATTGTTATCACAAAGCCAATCATATAATGATTTAAGATCATCATTAATACATTGAAACATATTATCTAAATTATTACCTGTAATATATATCATGGTATCGTCTGCAAACATGCACAATTTACATTTTTGTACATGATAAACTATATCATTAATGTATAAGTTGAAAAGAACAGGACCAAGTACAGTTCCCTGAGGCACACCATATTTAGTTTCTAATTTTTCAGATAAACAGTTTTTGTATTTTACTTTAGATAAGACTTGAACCAATTTAAAACACTGCCTCCCAGTCCTATTCCTTTCAACTTACACACCAATAAATCTCTATCCACAGTTTCAAATGCCCGTTTAAAATCCAAAAACACAGCTACCACAAATTTATTATTTTCTAAACATTTGTACCACTCATCACATACATTAAGTATAACAGATTCACAAGAATGCTTTTTTCTAAACCCAGACTGGTTATCAATAATCATATAATTTGTATCACAGAAATTCATTAGTTGATTCTTAACCTCAACTTCTAAAATTTTTTCATAAATTGTTACAGTATTTATTCTTCCACTAAAAATGTGTTTGGAAAAACTCCAGTTCGTATAACTATAGGGTTAGTTTTAAATAAGATATTGCAGATTTTCCTTTAAACTATTGTTTTTAAATTTAATAATAAAATTTAATATTATTAATCTAATTTTAACGTAATAATGTTTAAAAAAATGCATGCACTGGATGTTTATGCAGATCTTAAAACCGTGTTATTGATAAAATTACTTATATAAACGAAACAAGATATTCAAACGTCAAGAAAAATGAATTAACTGCAGTTTACAATCTCGAATGTATTCGCAGTTATTTTTATTGCACACAACTTTCATCAGTATCATATTGAATATCAATTTAAATACATGCAAGTGATGGCGTCTAAAAATAGAGACCAACCCACTAGGGCCATGAATTTAAAAATAGACGTAATTTATAAACAAATTATAGTAGTAGCACTCATGGTTAAATTAATGGCTATATGCAACAAACCACGCGTAATGGAAGCGATAATCAGTAGCGTGCCGTATAGGAGGCCCCACCCAGAGCGCCCCAGACGCCCTCATTTAATAAGGGAACGTACCCATACTACGTAACCAGTTTAGGGGGGAGAGGGGGGTCTTTAAAATACCACGCTTGGTCATAGGAGCAGGGGGTCATAGGTTTTCGTCACGTAGCCAATATCCGCTTGCGCTTTTTTGAGCTATAATATAGTTTTTTAAGTTTTTTATTCTAAATAATATTTTTTTCCAATGTAATTATAGGTCACGCAGCAAGCGCGGTATGAATAAAGGCAAATATGAGCCAAATTATTTTTTTTTTAACTTTCTGTTTGCAAAAAATTATTTAAAACCATATTTATGAATTACTACGTAAAAACTAGTGATGTAGGGGTGCATATACTACGGGTGGTCACTTATGCGGGGGAGGGGGTAAAACTTGTAAAAAATGGGTCACGTAATATGGGTACGTTCCCCTAGCAATATTTCTATGCAAATATTGTTATTTAATTAAACAGTACTATCATAATTATAAGAGCGCTATTTGTTT